ACTGTGGGAGCAATTATTAGAAAATGGAAGACATACAAGACCACTGATAATCTCCCTCGATCTGGGGCTCCACGCAAGATCTCACCCTGTGGGGTCAAAATGATCACAAGAACAGTGATCATTCACCATGACAATGATCCCAAACACATGACAATGACCACAAACAAACCGCCCGGGCAACGAAGGAGTGGCTTCGTAAGAAGCATTTCAATGTCCTGGAGTGGCCTAGCCAGTCTCCAGATCTCAACCCCATAGAAAATCTTTGGAGGGAGTTGAAAGTCCGTGTTGCCCAGCGACAGCCCCAAAACATCACTGCTCTAGAGGAGATCTGCATGGAGGAATGGGCCAAAATACCAGCAACAGTGTGTGAAAACCTTGTGAAGACTTACAGAAAACATTTGACCTCTGTCATTGCCAACAAATTTCTGTAAGTCTTCACAAGGTTTTCACACACTGTTGCTGGTATTTTGGCCCATTCCTCCATGCAGATCTCCNCTTACGTACTACGTACTTACTTACTACTTACTACTACTACTACTACTACTACTACTACTACTACTACTACACTACACTACACTACACACACACACACACACACACACACACACACACACACACACACACACACACACACACACACACACACACACACACACACACACACACACACACACACACAATATGTCTATTTTGCGTCCTTCATTGCAGACCCAGCTTCATGTGTTCTCTCTCTTCTGTTCCCCTGTAGGTGTTTAGCGGGAAGCGTCCAGACGGAGGAGACTTCCCCCAGCAGGGCCAGCCGGCCTCCTCCTTCCGTAAGCTGTCTCCCACCCCCCCACTGGGCCTGGGGGAGGGAGTCCTGTCCACACAGCCTGGTGGTGGTGCTCCTATGGACGGGCAGCAGCAGGCTCTGACCTGCCTCATCCCGGAGAAGGATCTGACGCTGTTCGAGAAGCTGGGCGACGGCTCCTTTGGAGTAGTGAAGAGAGGAGAGTGGCTGACGCCTGCAGGGAAGGTGGTGGGGAGATTTAAATAGTTCACTCATTAAGTATAAAGAAACTCCTGTAAGTTGATGGGGTTAATTAAGGATCTGGGGCATGGTACACCGGTATAGTTATTTTACATTATGCTTTTTAGCATTTTTGTGCTAATGTGAGAATACAAAAAAGCAGGCAAATCAATCTGTGTACTCAAACTGTCTTGATGTTTGAGTGAATTTTGTTTATAAATGCTTCTGCCCAAGCCTTATAAATGAATACTTTTTAATTGAATAATTACAATAAACTAACAAACTTCTAAGATTAAGGGACATTTTATGCCACTGATCTAATGCAAATATAATGCAAATACACCCTTTCAATTAGTTATTAACTTCCTTATTATTTAAAATATTCATCAAATAAAACCACGCAACAGCAAATTCAATGTTGGTGACATTCTTATGTAAAAGGTTTTTCAGTAAAAAATAATCAAGTTCACGTCTATATATCATGCTATAAGTAAAAAAACGTAATCATATTAATTTGCAAGTAATGTCCTATATTATTATTCAATAATATCATTGGCATGAAGGGCCTAGGTTTGCCATGACACAAACATGTGGGGAAAAGGTTGGAATTTACTTCAACTAAATCTTGGTCCTTGTCTCCAGCTGAACGTAGCTGTGAAGTGTCTGAAGACAGACGTGCTCACCCAGCCCGACGCTCTGGAGGACTTCATCTGCGAGGTCAACGCCATGCACTCCCTGGACCACCAGAACCTCATCCGCCTCTACGGTGTGGTGCTCACACACCCAATGAAGATGGTAGTGGACACACAGAAACACACACCCAAAGGGACCCATAAACACACATCAGTCAGCCTGTAGTCCAACTTAGATCCACACACTTAACACAAACGTGCTTGACTCTCTCGGCTTCATGACCTCTGCCTGCTAGAATCTGATCAAAATCCTCAAGGCCTTTTTTATGCCCGGGAGAAGTGATAGAGGGAAGAAGGGAGACAGGAAGGGTGGGGAGCAAGTGGGCCGAGGACCAAAATAAAGGGCTGACATTTCAAGGCTTTTTTAGTCATTTCCTGTTGCTTTTATTTTTTTTCTGTTTTCTTGGCCAATATTTGTTTCTTCTCTTTTGTACGTTGTAGCACTTACAATAGTTGTTTGCTTATTGATAGCTAATGTTTTTACTCCCTCCTTTAGTCTTCTATCTATTTTCTAGTCACCATCATCCATTCCTCATTACTTTTGCATTTCACTCCCACGTGGCTCTTTTCACCCAACAAGCCTCTCCTCCTCTGTTTGTCCCCCAGGTGACGGAGCTGGCTCCTCTGGGCTCTCTGCTGGAGCGCCTGCGGTGTGTCCGTCCACAGGGCCCGGTATTGATCCACACTCTGTGTCAGTATGCCGTACAGGTGGCCTGTGGAATGGCCTACCTGGAGCAGAGGAGGTTCATCCATAGGGACCTGGCAGCAAGGTACGAGCAACTTGAAACGTGTGGTCGTGTATTTTTTCAATTTAAAGGCAGTGCTGTAGCATAAAGCCTGTTTTCAAATCATCAAGTCTGTCGTGTGTCGGGCGGAATGTTGTGATTTACTTTCAATTAACGTTTGTTCAATTTTTACCTCCTGAGAACATAAGGTCTTCATTTAATGTTCAGAATTTTTAAAACTCTAGTCAGAACTAAGATACATTGCAGATTAGAGCTGCATTCACATGATAGGGGGTAAAATGGCCGAGCATTACGATGTAAGACTTGCGTTCCTATTGTTTAGCGCTCCAACACATTGTATGCACATGATAGGCTAACGGGGCTCAGATATGCTCAGATATGTCCCGACATATCTGAGCGGTTGTCCAATCACAACAGAGCTGGCCAGCTAACCAATCAGAGCAGACTGGGCTCTGGTTTCAGACAGAGGGTGAAAAGAGGTGCTGCAGCACAGGCAGTATGAGAAACATTAAGAGCTTTTTGAACATTAAAGCATGGAGACAGGTTTAAGTAGAGGCACAAAATATAAATATGAACCTGATTATGAGCATAATCGAGCCCCTTTATATATTTGAGCCCCTGAACGTTAAAAACGTATTTTTAAACAGCGTGGTTTTTTTCCCATTCTCTATGAAACAGATGTTTCTTTCAGGGATTTTTTACTGCTATGTTTAATTATTTATATTGCCTCTCTTTCCCCACACAGAGATTTACAGACTATTACAGGGAGACTTGGCCCACCAGTATAATGAGTCAGAGGTTGGCGGGCTGGACTGTGTGGTTTAAGCTCTTGGTCTTGCCCAAATGAGTAACTTTCACCTAACTGTTGACACCACATAGATGCTTGAGAATAATCATAACGATGGGGAAAAATAAGTCATTTTCACAGTTAGGGCTGTGATAAAATTATGACTGTCCACAGCAGTGGATTTCTCAAGCTTTGGTTTTAAAAACAGGACTTCTTTGAAGTTAAGTTATAACCTACAACACAGTTAATTGTATTCCTAATAAATCTTAGGTCTATTTATTGCCTTCATAAATAACCTGAAGTAGGTCCTTATTTTTTTGGGCTGTTCACAACAGAAAACTACTCACACTTTGGACAACATGTTAACTGTACTGTAACTGTCTGGCACATGGACTACATTTGATTTTACTGAATTACATTCTGAATGTGGATCGGATTGACTGTAAACAAAATTATCTGTTTTTGTCTCTGCCTGCTAGGGCTGTGGCCATTCAGCATTACCAGTATGGGATTTAAATGTTCAATTTTCAGTCAAAATGTGTTTGTGTTTTAAGAATGTTGCCTTTGCCGACCATACATACAACATAATTGTAATTTTAAATTTCAGTTACAATATTATGCTATAACATTTGACTCTCTCTCTTTCAGGAACATCCTGCTGGCCTCGGCTCACAGAGTGAAGATCGGAGACTTCGGCCTGATGAGGGCGCTGCCCAACAACGATGAGCACTACGTCATGCAGGAGCATCGCAAGGTCCCCTTCGCATGGTGGGTGGACTGAGAGAGCAGGAGCAGCACAAAAACCAAAGCTGAACTTGGATGCATTTCATGCACGGATATGAGAGGGTTTAGGGAGGGAGTCGGATTTTATTGCAGACATTTTCCACAGAAAAATCTGATCGGCCACGGCTGCATTCCAGCCATTCTGATAGTTCTTATTTGAAAGGTTTCCTTTTGCAAACTTCTACATTGATCAAGACATCTGAGTTGTTGCTGTCTTCATTCATATAGATCAGAGTGGCCCAAACTTTTTTCCCTTTTGGGCTAAAACTTAACCTATTGTATTCTATTATATGTTTGATGCAAAAATAAAACCAGGATTCCAAGTAATATTAGTTGAAATGCGTGTGCCTCTGTTTCTGCCTCTCTATTTTATTCATACCTACCTTAGGCTAAAATGACTTGTTTTGAAGGAGTGACTTTCTTCTTCGATTATGAAAGATGTTAATAATAAGGGATCCTACAATCTGAGAGTAAATTTCTACCCAAAAAAATATGAAACCGGGGTTTGGTACCCCATGCGGAGGACCCGGGTTCGAGTCCGGCTTGGAACAATTTGTTGCATGTCATCCCCTATGCCTCCTTGGGCAACTCTGTTTCCCAAAGAACCTAAAAAATAAAACAGCTTAAACTGTGATTTATATTATCATTTTTAAAACGTTGTATTTTTAAAAGTATAAACAAATATGGCAGGATTACTTTGGCACAAAGGCTACATTTTCCAAATACAGAGCTTATTTTTGTTAAATGTGAAAGTAGCTACATTAAATAACTGGAAAATATTCTCTGTCTAAAGTGACAATATGTTCAGACATGCACGGTTCAAGTTTTAAAAAAAATGCCGTCCTGCTGCAGGTGCGCCCCAGAGAGTCTGAAGACCAGAACGTTCTCCCACGCTACAGACACCTGGATGTTTGGAGTTACTCTTTGGGAGATGTTCACACACGGCCAGGAGCCCTGGCTGGGCCTCAACGGAAGCCAGGTGAACATTCACACAATCATTATTTTTCCGAAAGATACAGTATACAAAAACATCTTAAAGCTATTGTAACATAAGCAGACACAACATTTTTTTAACATTTATTCACATCTACAATGTCTTCTTTTGTTTTTCTTCTGCATTGTCAAAAACAAACAACCCCAGATCCTGCACAAGATTGATAAAGAAGGTGAACGCCTCCCGAAGCCTGAAGACTGTCCGCAGGACATCTATCACGTGGTGCTGCAGTGCTGGGCTCAGAAACCAGACGACAGACCCACCTTTGTGGCCCTGCGCGAGTTCCTGCTGCAGGTACGACAGCTGTCAGTTTTGTCCCTTAAGAAGTATATATAGCCACTTTCAGCCACTAAGCAAAGGACACTTGAGGATAACCCTCCAGTGCAGAGGCCACTTTTCCCTCAGCAGTCATCTTCGAAGGGCTGGAGTTGTAGCTCCACCTAGTGGAGTCACTGCAGAGTTCATACTAACATACCCTCAGCTGGTAGGATTATGAAAACCAGTTGCATTATGGCCCACTCATAAATGTGGGCTGTGTTAAAATGTCTAATGTTTCTCATATGTGTTTTATGTGTTTTTCAGACCATGCCAACAGACATGTGTGCTCTCCAGGACTTTGACGAGCCTGACAAACTCCACATCCAGATAAATGATGTCATCACCATCATAGAGGGGAGGTGGGTGTTAATTCTTGTAAAAGTTTTTTTTGAAAAGAACGTTCTTAGTACACATTTGTACTTTAACCATACATACTGACCTGCCAACATCAATACTGATAAATACTGTTAAAAGGAAAAAAATGCATCTCTTTTCACTAAATAATAACAGAAATCTTATTTAGTGCTCACTTATAAAAAGGTGTTCAATGGCTATTAAACCAAATTATTGAATTGTTAATTGCGCACCCCTACACACGGTTCTTTGAATGGGGTGACGTCACGCTTTGCCAAACTGCATTGTGGTTCCGTCGCGTCGCTTTGCCTCCGTTGCTCGCCCTGAAAGTTGAGAAAAGTTCAACTTTTCAAGCGTCGACGGAAGCGCCAGCCAATCAAATCATATGCCAGTACAAGTGCAAGCCAATCAAACCGCGTGCTTTTGTGTACGGGTCTGGAGATTAATGTGATTGGTTGTTGGTCGCGAGCAGACAGGCCCAGCGGCAAGCTTCAACGCGACGGAACCGTGTGTACGATACGTTAGAGATGCAACGATAAGTAAATCCACATTCTTTTTTATAAATTAGTGCAAAAATTGCAGAAATGCTGTTTTTAGCCTCTCGAATAATGAGACTATTTGTTGTATTATCCTATTTAATATTATCATATTAAAAGTAATATATTTGGGTTTTGGACTGATCAAACAAAAAATTCAAAGACATAACCTTGTAATTGTGAAAAACTTGAATGGACAATCTTTTTATATTTTCTGACATTATTCCTTATTTTATTATCTTTTAATTCAAATAATTGTTAGCTGCATAGTCCAGTAGAATATCTGTATTGTCAATGACTGTCCATGTTTCAACCTCAGCACCTCTGTGTCTTTCAGAGCAGAGAACTACTGGTGGCGAGGTCAAAACAAGCGCACCCTGAAGCTGGGACCGTTCCCCAGAAACGTGGTGACGTCAGTCGCGGGTCTGTCAGCGCACGACATCAGCCAGCCCCTCAAGAACAGCTTCATCCACACGGGACACGGAGACAGCAACCCTCACCACTGCTGGGGCTTCCCCGACAGGATAGACGAGTACGATCCGACTTCTTTACTTTTACTGTTATCTTAAATGTTTCACATGGTCTAAATGTCTCTTATCACTTTCTAAATATCCATCATAATTTTGACCCATGTTGAAAGTTGGTGGTTAAAGTCTATTTAGATTTTAATGATTTGTAATTATACACTTTAACCAATAGATGCAGTAGCACAATGTTATAAATGTCCAACGTTTTGCAACTTGACACCAACAAGGTAGAATCAGTATCTTTCCCTCCAATGAAATTAATTGGACAAATATGGCAATCTGACCTGCCGAACGCAATGAAACTCGATCTTTTCACAACAACCGTCGAGACCTGGGCCCTCAATACTTGACTCCATCATTGTCGTCTCTATACTAACCTCATTCGCACGGTATTAAATCTACCCTGGACGAATAACCCACAGATATATGGCCTCATGCCATGTCTCAGTAAGCGCCTGATTTAACGGCCACTGTTTACGCGCCAAACTCATTTCAGATCTTATCCTATTGAAGCCTTCAGAATCTTACCTTCACAGAGCTCCTGGTGTGGGACACTAGTATCAGTCTAACCTTGGAACAGCCATGAGCAATCAGAAAAGGAAGACAATAGTGCGAGGTCTCTACATTTATACCGCACAATGATGATGATTAGCATCACTATAAATCCAACTACTGTGAATAAATCTGTCTGTCTTCCCTTCAGTTTGTACCTCGGTAATCCCATGGACCCTCCAGATGTTCTCGGTGTGGACCCCAATGCTCGGCCCTCAAATCTGCCAGGACGAGCAAAAAGTGAGTAGAAGAGCTCTGATTAAAGACTTACACCACGCTATAATGATCACCATTTGAAATATATATCTTACCAAGGATAAACCATTGCCTTATGTCTCCAAAAACATAAAAACACTGATCATCATCACCTCAAACTAATTCTGTAACTCATGAAAACAAACCTCAACAGCATGAAGACACAATTATTTCAGATACATTTCATTGTTGTCTGGTGCTAATACCTCTATTGTTTATCATTATTACACTGCGCAGTTGATACTCGATTCTGATTGGTCAATTTAGACAATCCCCTTTTCTCTATAATGACCAGGTCGCGGCTCATTGTCCCTTTCATACAATGATCAGATTCCTCATTAAAACATTGCGGCTCCATCCACATTGTTGATTTTTTCTTTGGAAAATAGTCCCAGCTTGCTTTTCATTTTTCTTAACACTTGCTGGCAAACTTTCACATACAATCTGACATTTGCTTCCTGCTTTATTTTCTAACCTTTCTATCTTTGCTGCTTCTTTTTTCTTTTATTTCTCCTTCGCGGCGGCGCTATTCGCTTTTATTCTTCCAGAGGACCCTCCCCCCCGCCCTCCCCAGCCAGCCGTGATACTCAAGAGTAAGTCTGGTTTCTCTCAGCAGCTCCTCACCCATTGCTCCTGCCCTCTCTGTTCCCTCCTTGCTCCACTCCTCAAAGGTACATCCCATATTTATTTTTGCCTGTTTTTGCAGCTCTTCCGTCAGCTACTTTTATTTCCCTTCTTACCATCATCTTCCCGCCTCTGTTTCCCCTCTAACAGGTTTGCAGTGTGCACAATAGGACTAACTTTCAACCTGAACACTTTTTTGGAGTGGAGTGTGTCTTGTGTTTTGTGCCGTTTCGGGATTTTAAAGTGCATGAGTCATCAGTTTCTACATTTTCTCAGCAACTAAACTAACGTATTGTGTGTTCCTGTCTCCAGAGCCTTGCTACGATGCAGTAAACAATGAAGAGGATCTGACTTCAGCAGGACTAAAGAGATTATCGCTTCGGAAAACCAGTTCCATCAAAGGCTTGAAACTGAAACCTGCTGCGTGGGTCTCCGCTTCCAAACAGGGGGGCGGCCGGACATCAGGCTCAGGCCACACCCCGAACAGCGAGGTGTCGCTCATTGACTTTGGAGAAGAGTTCCCCCCGCCCTCGCCCTCCCCCTCACCTGTGGTTGAAATTCAGATTCCTTCACTGGCGAAGCTACTTTTGGGAGCAGAGAACCTCCTGGACCGAACGCCGCCTCAGAGTCCGTCTAAGTCCTTGCCTCGCCCCCTTCACCCTACACCTGTAGTGGACTGGGATGCCCGGCCCTTACCTCCACCCCCGGCATATGACGATGTAGCCCAAGACGAAGACGATATGGAGGTACGGTAGGGGGTGACGCAGCACATTTTACATTATGCAAAAAAGGGTTTATCTTCGGTTGTAATCTGTAAAGAAAGTTTTAAATATTCTTTCTCCCCAAAGGTGAGCTCCATCAACAGCTCGGAGCAGCAGCAGGAGGACGAGCAGAGCGGTGACCCAGATGAGAGTCAGAAGGTGGATGGTGAGGGTCTTGTCTCCAGGGGTCCGGACAGATCAGGCTTTGAGGACAACCTCTTCCTCCCCAGCGGGCAGAGCCAGGTCCTGTCCTCCTCCTTCTCGCAGTCAGCAGAGATCTTCCAAGAGCTCCAGCAGGAGTGCATGAGGAGGCTGAACGTCCCGACGGGAAGTACTACGCGCTCAAACTTGCCGTCGTGGACCCAGGAGGGACACCAGCAGAGTATCCCTTCTTCCAACGAGGACAGACCCCAGGTCCCCCCACGTGTCCCCATTCCCCCTCGCCCCATTAAGAGGGGCGACTACACCTCTCCTCGCTGGTCACGTGATCTCTCCCTGTCACCGACGCCGGCTGACTCCACTGAGGAGGTTTTAGGCTCGACCCAGGAGCGCCCTCCTCAGATTCCTCCCAGGGACCCTTTGTCCCAGCCGGGCTCAAGGACCCCCAGCCCCATGGGCCTGGTGGTGGGCTCCCCTCAGCAGAGAATCTACTCTGCGAGCCCCACCACCATGCCAGCTCCCATATCCTCCTCCTCTGCACACACATACGGCTCCTACCTCTCCTCCTCTCCAGGTAAACTCATGCCCACTACTCACAGCTTCGCCTCGGATCCTAAATATGCTGCACCCAAAGTGATCCAGGCGCAGGGGAAGGACGCCAGCAAGGGCCCCTGTATCCTCCCCATAGTGCGTGACGGACGTAAAGTCAGCAATACACACTATTACCTTCTACCAGAGAGGCCCCCGTACCTCGACCGCTACGACCGCTTCTTCAGGGAGGCGGAGAGCTTTCCTGCCAGCGGCGTGGAGGAGAGACATGTACGACAGGCTAACACGGCCACTGTGAGACCAATGGTGGTCAGCAGCCAGACTCTGCAGGGACACATCCAGGGACAGGGGCTCGTCCTGCCAGGCGAGCTGAAGACTAATTTCTCCTCCAACAACAACAGCAGTCTGGGGGGCTCCCGGTCAGGGATGAAGACATCAGTCAGTCTCCCTCGCGTGTGTACAGAGGGGCTGACAGCAGCGGTGGTCCCCACGGCTTCCTGTATCAGGACAGATGGAGGAGGGAACTCAGCCGACAGGGTCAAAATGGTAAGGTCAGACATGAATAAATGTTTTTAATTTAGTAAGGGCAAAGGATACACATATAGGACACAACAGCATGATGAAATGACAACACCAGATTCAACAGAAAAAAGCTAAAGAAATATTTATTCAAAATACTCACTCACTCAAAATAATGGGTGATTGGATCCCTTCGGTAATTAAAAATAAATATGTAGACAACCACCCAAGAACCAAAAACACGCATATTTAAAATTCCATATGATCACACTCTTTATTCAAGCTGATTTTGTCCCTTGTAATGTTGTCTTATGTTATGTAATGGTTAGTGCTATACATTTTTTTTCCCTAAAAAATGTCATTGGATGTCTTTTTTAAAAACCTAAAAGTGAGATAAGAGATATTTGGATGTCTTTTGAAACCTCTCATTTGGGATGCATAATTAATGGTTATTTAATGCTTCACTAATTAAAGTGCTCTGTTCAGTCACTTTCTCCCTCATGATAGATAGTTTAGCCACATTAAAAACTTTACCTTAAATCCCCCTTAATGTCACTTTGATTGCTTTCTCTTTTTAAATGAGATTTTTTTAAAGTACAACTCTTAAACTAGATAGCCATCAGTTCTTTGTTTCCCATCACTAGTATGAGAGAGTAATTCTCCCTTATTACTAGACAAAATGCAATGTTCAGGGTCATTCAGTAGGATTGACTTTAATTGTAATGTAATAGAGTGCAGTGCCTAGAAGTGATTTTGTATGTATAAATCTTTTCTCTCTGTTTACAATATTAAAGGGGCCCTATTATGCTTTTTGTTTTCCCTTTCCTGTAGTGTGTTATAAAGGTTTTTGTGCATCACTACAGTATGTAACGCTCGCGCTTCTATTAGCTAGTGCTCTTACACATTGTACGTGATAGGCTAAGGAGCGACTCATCTCTAAGCGGTTGACCCATCACAGCAGAGCCAGCCAGCTAACCAATAAGAGCAGACTGGGCACAATGAAAAGGGCACAAACATCTTTAGCTTCTGATAACTTATTTGAAATAATTCTGGTGTTCTTTGAGGATAAAGGCCATATCAATCTTAGCTGTGAATTGAATTAAAAAACCAAGTAACAAGTTTGATCGGTTTCTTTTTTCCGGCCGATTGATGCTGACACCAATTGAACTGGAGTCAGAATGACTGCGAACACCAGCGGCTGTTCATCGATCAAGCACTTGTCACTTGGTAGTGGATAGTGAGATAGATGCCCTGTGGATCATCCCTTCAGGTGAAGCTTAAAGTAAACAAATGAGCTTGGATAAGTTCCAAATGAAGGCAACAAGAAAGCATATTTTTAAGAAAAACAATATTGTGTTTAGGCCCTCTGGGATGTATTTGAAGAGACACTCTCTGAGATCTTGAATATGGATGAAGTCCAGCTACGTGCTTGCTGGGCATTCATTTAACATTTGCACAAAGAAAACCTTCAACAAATCGCATTATTCTCAAAAAGTTAGAAAGGCCAACTGTTTCAACTTATTAAACCGCTCGAGGACTTTCTGCCTCCTGCCTGCCATATCTCGACAGGGGAGGTTACAGTTTATGGGATACAATAAGGTCATTCCGGGACTCAAATCATCACAGCTGCCTCCCTGGGAAATAAAATACATTATTGGAACCATAATATTCCCTCTGGGCCTTAGTACTGACGACCGGGGTGAGCCCTGTCAATCTTACATAAAGATAACAGCAAGAGTAAGGAAAACAAAAATACAGAAGAAGGATATTTATGTTGTGGAGTCGTCCATGTACTGAAGCAAGACCATGTGCATGTACAGTGGGGCAAAAAAGTATTTAGTCAGCCACCAATTGTGCAAGTTCTCCCACTTAAAAAGATGAGAGAGGCCTGTAATTTCCCTCCTAGGTATACCTCAACTATGAGAGACAAAATGAGAAAAGAAAATCACATTGTCTGATTTTTAAAGAATTTATTTGCAAATTATGGTGGAAAATAAGTATTTGGTCAATAACAAAAGTTCATCGCAATACTTTGTTATATACCCTTTGTTGGCAATGACAGAGGTCAAATGTTTTCTGTAAGTCTTCACAAGGTTTTCACACACTGTTGCTGGTATTTTGGCCCGTTCCTCCATGCAGATCTCCTCTAGAGCAGTGATGTTTTGGGGCTGTCGCTGGGCAACACGGACTTTCAACTCCCTCCAAAGATTTTCTATGGGGTTGAGATCTGGAGACTGGCTCTGCGACTCCAGGACCTTGAAATGCTCCACTCCTTCGTTTCCCGGGCGGTGTGTTTGGGATCATTGTCATGCTGAAAGACCCAGCCACGTTTCATCTTCAATGCCCTTGCTGATGGAAGGAGGTTGTCACTCAAAATCTCACGATACATGGCCCCATTCATTCTTTCCTTTACACGGATCAGTCGTCCTGGTCCCTTTGCAGAAAAACAG